ATTAGTTAAAAAAAAAAGAAAAATCCCCACAAGGCTGGCTGCCTTTATCCTTGCCCGGGAGTCTGTGAATATGGCCTGGCAAAGATGTAGACTGCGTTAGACTAGTCTATAAGGTTGGTGGTGACTCTGGGGGCATAAAAGCACAATAAAAATAGAAGTGGGGATACTCTTTGACCAGATAATCCTGTATACATGCTCCTTTAGGGGAAATTCAGATTGTCATGGGCTTCAAGATCTGATTTCAACAGATTTTTAGATGCCTTCAGGAGCAAATGTGAGCAATTCTTACTCCACCTACCCCGTGACATTGCTCAAGTAACTTATCTAGGGTCACATATCTAGTAAATGGAAGACTGAGAATTAAAATCTAAGTTGTCTAGCTCCCAACAGCTGTATATACAAACATTATGTTAAATGAGACTTTGTCAAAGTTCATGCCAACTAATGTCATGCATGTGAAACTCCTGTGAAAGGCTTACTGACAGAAAAAGATAATGAGACTGATGTCTACACCCATCCTTCACTATTCCCCACCTGGCACTTCTATTCCAAATTTAGTCAATCCTTTTGCTCTCAGTATTGAACACTCTCTGGTTCCTCCCTACAGATGGCATGACTTCATGCTTCACTCCTAGCATAGCACACACGCTGGTCCTTGCTGAGGCTCAATGGCACCACCTACAAGGGAACATCTGTTATTTACATCCCTCCTGTTAGAGGAGGAGGGTCCAGCCAGATGGATGAACCTATGAACTCCAAGTGAAGAGCGGGGATTCAGTTACTGTGGTAGCAATGGTTTCCCAGAACTGGGCACTTGGAAAAACTGTCTTGGGCAACCAAAAAGTTAGGCTATCATCAAAATATTTGGAAGTAACAAAGAAAGTTGCTCTACCCATCATCACTTCTCTAGACATGGGTTTAAGAGAAAAGAGTAGGCTTTTTTCATATTCTCTCCTTTGATCTGGCACATCCAAGAGGCAGAGAGCTCTGTGTCACGTCTTCCAATTCTCTTTACATCATTAAAGGTATGAAAGAAAGACAGTTATAGGAGTTTTTTGTCTTGATCTGTATATTTATACAAATATATGTTTTATTATTTTATTATAATCTACAAAATGAATGGAAATTGGACCCACTTTTTAGAGAGAAGTAAAGACAGTCATGCTCATAGTCTTGGAGTAACCATATTTAGACAGGTGCTAAAAGTAGCCTTTGGTGATCCAGTGGATGAGGTTGTGATGAAATTTAAATAAGTAGACTGGAATTGGGATAACAAAGGGCTGTCACTCTTGGTTTAAAGTATAGAGAAATATAGAGTGAGATAGAATCCAGCCTACACTGAACGTCAGTCTCATGTACACTGAAAGGAGGGACAAAGATTTTGAGAGTTTCTTATTGATTAGGTATGGGCCCAACAGAGCAGAACCAATCTGGAACTTCTTCAGATTTCACCCCGAGGTCTGCTCAGAAAGATGAAGCGACCTCAACTGCTGTGGGAGGAAACATAAGTGACCAGCTAAAGGTAAATGCTTTGCTCACAGCATAGGCAGTTCATTGGGAGGGGGTGGGCAGCTCTAAAATACCCATGAAAGTACTACAGGAGTAGTCAGCTCTGAACAACAGCCAGAAAGAGTTGGCTTTAAACGTGTGCCACAGCTAGAGGTAACTAGGTTATAGTGGTGCCAGTCAGGTAAGATATTTCCTGTCCTGTCCTATTCTTTT